CCTCTCTCCAGAACTCCCTGGACAGACTCCTCCTCAGTCACCATCCAGCAATGTTGACATTAAAAATACTTAAGTTCCAATTTTCCCAAGAAGAAAGCATTTTTCCTCTTTGCACAGCATCTCAACCCAGGTTGCACAGATGGGTGAAGCGGGCACTGTCACCCTCACATATGTTAAGGAGCAGGATCAGCAAATCTGATGATACGGAGACGATCAGAAACACATCACAACTGTTGGCTTCGAACAGTCACCTGATTGTGTGATACATTAAAACTGATTCAGTCTTGGCTTCAACTTCTTAAAAATATAGAATTTCAAAGGAAAATGTTACCCATATGCATGAGAAACAAGAGTCAACTGGACACAGATCTGCAGCTATGCACTGGGAGCAAAACATCAGTCCACACATTGTTTTAATACTTTTAATATCTGTTGGTGCATGGAATGCACGGACCAGGCTATTCAAGCCCTATAGAGCCATGGGCCGCCTCAGACCAAAAAAGGATAAGACCTAACTCAGCCCAGAAGGCCCTCACACGATTCTCTACCAGAGACCACCAGGTTCCTAGATTCCATAGGACAATTTTTTGTTCAAACTGTTTTCATCAAGACACTTGAAAGTAAACTTTCCTCATTGGGTAAGGAGCTGGGGGACCACGTTCATCTCAAAATGACACCAAGCCTTCAGTCACTTGAAAGATATCTTTTAGTCCTGGAGATGGTGTGCGCTGCCCTCCCAGAGAGGCCCTGGCGACGGTTAGGAAGAGCACCTCTCCACGCAGTCGGCTTCCTCCAGTGCACGGCTTCCCGTGCTCTGGAATGCTCCACAGCTCACGCCCTTCTGCCCTCCACTACTGCATTCAGAAGACAGAAGAATCACAGAAAGGACAGGGGCTCTGCAGCAACCTCTTAATCCAGTCAGGATCTTCTGGGGCTGGGTGCCGAGCGATGCTGTCATGGAGCAGACACCGTCTGTATATCAAGCTCTGGCAGGACTGGTAGGTTAAGAAGCACCGGAGCCAGATGTGCCCATTAGAGCAGACGGCCTGTTTGCGATCTGTGAACGGCAAGATCTTTTTACACAAGCTGCAGTGTTCAGGGAGAGTCTGTTTGTTCATCTTCTTTGAGATGTGTCCAATCAGCACCGAGCCGTTCTGTCCTCGTACTCTTCRTCAGACATTAGAAAGTTGCAGAGCCCTCTGGTGGGGATGCTGGTGTTCTCTGTGATCCAGGTGTGCAGGTACACTTCCCCCAGGACGCGCTTCATGTGCTCCCTAGTCAGGTGCATCTCCACAGCCTCGATTTTCCCTTGGATCTCAAGGAGCTTCTCCTCCACTGCCTCATGGCCTCCACCGTCTCCCAATGGGGGCAGTGAGTCGTCTGTGGGCTCCTCTGCTTCGCCCTCTCTTCTCCTCTCCTGCAGGCCTGGCTTAGTCACTTGCCTGGAAGAGGTGCCTTCTTCTTGCTGCTCATCCTCTGCATTGCCCATCCCAGGAGAGTCAACGATCAAGATTTTTGAGTCTTCATGGGCAGGTTTCCATAAGGCTTCTGAAGGAGTTTTCTGCATTGACTGGTATAAAATCCTCAGGAGAAAAAGCTTAAAACGCCAAAAATAGGTGACTCCACTGCTTTCGATCTT